GCCTTCCCAGCCTCTTCTTCTCCAGGAACCCCTGCTTCCCTTCTCAAGAAGCTGCTCCTGCCTGGCACCATCTCCACTTGGCTAATTCCCCTTGTGGCCCCTCTATTGAACTGTTGTGTTGTCCATTTCCCTGTGACAAGGGCTCTGGTTACAGAGTTATTGATTGGTTTCATGCAGACAGATGGGCCCTTCCTGGCTCCCATCGAAATCCCCGGCTCTATGGGCTGATTGTTGCCTCTCGGGGTATAGGATTGCACCAGCGACCACCCTCCATGCAGTCTCCTTGGCCCGGGCTGTGGATGGTAATAAATGGCGTCAGCCCGGGCGATAATAAAAGCAATCGAGTAGGTTACCTGCGCAGACACAGATTTATGCTGCTTTATATTTGACGCGATTGTTTTATTGAGTTCTCAGAACAGTTGAAACTTTATTTGTTTATTTTGGGGTTCCCCCCTCTCTTTTCTTCTTGACATCCCCGTCTAAACTCAACCTGGATTATTTTGGGGGGGGGGGGATAACCCCTCAGTTGTAGTTCTCAAAAGTTGCCAGCTACTGAAAAACTACTCTTTGGCCTGAATACTCACAAGCCAACAAGCAGGAGACATTCAGGCCCAGAAGCCCATCACAACCTTCAAAGTTTGACTCCCAGAACCCACATTGTAAAAAGAGAGAAACAGCTCCCACAAGTTATCCTCTGGTCTGCTTTTGAGCAGTGTGCTGATTGTACCCCAACCACACACACACACACACACACACACACACACACACACACACACACAGTAAATAATAAACAATGAAATGTGAGACATTAAAAACACAAGAAGCAGACGGAACAACCCTGCCTGTTTCAGATGCCTCTCTAAGGATGGGTGACCAGCACAGCAGAGACACCCTCTACGAAAAAAAAAATGAGTGAGCATGGCTTTGAGACAGAAACCAGAGAAGCAACTTCTTGCAGCCTCTGTCTGAGAGGCCTGGAGCCCCAAGACACAGTCTCTGTCCTGACTGTCCTTCCTCTTTGGGATGAAGTCTCCCTCCTACCTCACTGACTCTAGCTCTTTGCCCTGACACCGACAACCAAGCAGCTGCACAGATGTAGAGACGTGACGAGCAGTGCCACCCTCTGCCCAGCTTCCGTGCCAAGGCTGGTCCGGGAGCCAGATCTACCTGATCTAGATTTGAGTTTCAGAGGCAGAAACAGAGGCTGTGGCCTAGGCTGTGTCTCCAGAATTCCCAGGGCTGGGATTAGTAACTATCAGCTTGCTTGGAAAGACAATCGGCAGATCACTGTCCACCACCAGACCAGTGGCAAAACCTGTGAATGACCCCGTGGGGACACCTGAGTGATGCAAGCTGGCATTGCTTAACACAGCGTTGAGGCCGCAGCCTTTTTAAAGCCAGTGCTGCTGCAGCAAGGAGGAATGTATGTGCTCACTTTAAAGCAAACAGGCTAAGAAAGAATACAGGGGTGGTGGGTGATTGGCAAGCCCCAAGGGTCCGCTGCAAGGACCCAGGAGTCCAGGCTCCCTGGCCCCGACACGTGTTGACTAGCTTTAAGAAATTAATCATCCAGCTCAGAGGCCACATCCGAGTGTAGCCCTAGCCCTAGACTCCACCTGGAGTTCCGTTCTTTCAAAGAGGAGGTCTCTGCCCAGGGCAACAGTGCAGCCTGAAGACTCGGGGTGTCATCAGGACACCCCTTCCTTCCTTGTCAATAACTCAGCCTGACGAGGCAACTTTCCTCCTCCTTCAGTACAAGGATCTTCCATCTCCACGCTGACCGTAGGTCATCTCCCATGCCAGGTGTCAATCAGAAGTTGCCCATTTACAAACCCCGTCCCCAAACATGATGCCACACAAGCCAAAGAGCTTCACTCTTCACTCAGCGGAAAGTAGCTCAATGTTTAGAACAATTCAAAAAATTCCATGACCAGCTCAGAGCTAATATTTTAGCCAATGGTCTCCAGGTATGGATGGCCCCCTAGCACACCTCTGGCCCAGAAAGGCATTTCTGTGAGGATTTGCCAGGGGAGAACTCAAGTTGGATAGCCAAGGCTTTATCGTGACAGGATCAGAGAATGCCAAAACCATTTTTAAAGCATGAAAAGCAATTTAGTTTATAGCCATAACAGCATATTTCAAGTGCAGCGACAGCACCTGTTTGGAGGAGGAGAAGATGAAAACTTTTGGCTCAGGTGGACGAGCAGGTGTAGACTTCCTTTCTTGCACATGCCGGCTCCTGAGCACCATTACTCAGGACATATATGTATGTATGCACGCGCGCACACACACACACACACACACACACATACATGCATATATGTATGTATGTATGTGTCAATAACAGCAACACAGGTTGACACCCTACCATCTCCAAAGCTCTGAACTCAGGCACTCCCCACTTCCTAGTACATACACACAGGAAAATCTCCAGTTCCTTCTTACAATGAGTGAGAGTTCTCAGAACAGAAAGGCCCAAGTTCCTGATACAACCAGAACCAGCAGGAATGCCACGCCTATACCAGGCATTTAGGTGAAACACGGCTCTAGAAGGAACCTTCCTCTTCAGGGCAGAGCACCCATAAGAATGATATCGATGATTGGGGTGTCCAGAAACGCCCCAGTGACACACTGGGATGCCCCAACCAATCTTTCCAAAGTATCAACCATGGGAGGATTCTTCCCAAAGCAAAATTAAATCGGCCTGATAGATCCCTTTGACAAAGCAAGCCTTGAAGGTTAACTGCACAGCGAGGGCTGCCCGTGCTGCTGGTGGCTTCCCAGCTTCTGCTTCATCTACCCTCAGCAATGCCTACCCAGAAATGGCTCTTTCTCCACACCCGAAGAAAGCCCGTGTGGACCTCGGGTAACAGGACCATGTGCCCATCGGTCGCTGTGGCTGTCAGAGCAGTCACGCTTGGCCCACTCTTTCCCCAAAGCTCATCTTCTGGGCAGCTCGCTAGTCTACTTTTTCCTGGTGTGGTAGACACACCTTCAGACCTCTGGGGTTTGAGGTTTGAGGGTCATTTGTCCTCTGTACTCTATGTCTCTTTGGGATGAAACATTCACCAACTTGTACCTAAACCAGCTTTAAAGATAGCCCAGCAGTCCGTGGATATGTGTCAGGCGGGGAATGGCCAAGGAGGGAGCTGCCAGCACCCACACACACCCAAAAGAAGCAAATCACTGAAACTACACATGCCTTGGGCTCTCCCAAGGCTTGCAATTCCCACCACAGACAATAAAGCGTACTTCCAAAATGGTCCCCAGACCACCGCCACCCAGTCCAGTGACTTTGCTCCTCATCCCAGCTACTCTTGGTTCAGCTGCTGTCTTCCCAAGACCTCAGTTCTCACTCACTGCAAGGACCGCAGGCGGGTCTACAGGCAAAATCTCTAGATGGCTCAGGAAAAATAAATGCTGTCCCCTTCCCCTCCCTAACCGCCAGAGCTGCCTCCTAGAGCTGCCTCCTTACCCAAGCTGCCCCAGCCTCCTGACTTTTAAATGCAAAGCGCTTATTGCTTTCTCAAAACACCCAGTGTTTTTCTCCAGCTCTTTTGGAAAGTGAATGTCAAACAGCCGTTCATTTGCAGTACCTACCTAGCTGAGCCAGGCCCAGGGAGCTGGAGAGTTTCGGAGGGTGTATAATTAGCTGATCAGTATTATGTTACCCTGTTCATAACTGAATAACCATTTTAATACAGATGGCACACACCGGGATAATTTCCGGGGTCGCCTTGCAGTACGTTACAGCAGGAGTGTGGCAGAGGGAATCTTCTTTAGCCAAGGTACATTCTACCAGCTAATTTTACCTGCTGTTTTCAGGATGATTTGGGATAATTCCATATCATTTGCAAAATATTAAAAAAAGATAGGTGATGCTAGTTGCAGAAAGAAGTGCCATCTGAATTATTAGTTTCCTGATAATGGGCCTACGAAGAGTGCAAAGAATAACAGAGTCTGAGACTTTCTGACTGTCTTCTCATTTGGGGAGTGGCTGAAAAGGGGGGGCCTACCTCTGGCTGGAGTGTGACTTCTTCAGTCCAGAGTCCCTGACTACAATTGTTAAGATACACAGTTCTGCAGTTAGGAAATTGGGTCTGGATTTCCTAATAGAACATCCTGCCTGGATGTTCTATGGTCACCCCAGATAGATGCCCTGGCACACACTGGCTGGGGTGCATACGCCTAAAGCATGACCATTTGGTTTCCCAGACCGCACACTGGCGTCACCTGGGGATTAAGACACCTAAGAGTTCTGCAAGATGAACTGAGTAGAGCCTGCACGGTCCCAGGATCTGACCCTCTCATTACGGAAGAGTTCAGCCTCAAGACAGGCTTGCTTGGTGGTTGGGGCATCTCCCAAGAGTCAGCCACAGGGTCCCAGCTCTCCCTCCCTGCCTGGCATCCCAGTCCTTGTCCAGCTCCTCTCCTCTCTGCCAAGTCCTGGCTGGTGGCTGGCATCTGCTCTGTAGGCCTGGATGCCAGTGCTTCTCGGCCGGAAATTTGTGCAGAGCTGGCTACCAAGACCTGGGCTCCTGGGAGGCAAGCTTTGTGGGAGTTGGCTGAAAGGGTAAAGGAGCCAGGGTTCTGGCCGCCCCTGGGGAAGGGTACATGACTTTAAAAAGAAAAGTCTGTTTGGAGGCAGTGAATAGACAGTGGTCATTTTAAAGGCTTTGCTACGGGCTGTGATTGTCTCTAGATCCCGAGGCGGGTAATCTTGGAGTCTTAATTACCACAAACACTTGGATTCATTTCCAGGACACCGGCGGGAGAAGCCTGGCAGGGAAAACTCAGCTCCGAATTGGAAAGAGCCCTGTCTGTCAGTCTGTCTGTCTCTTTGCCTCCCAGGTCTGTTTTCCTTGCCCAAACAACTTCAGGCTGGGAGATGGAAGGAGGGGTGGACACTGGACAAAGAGCAAGGATGGACCCTGGGAAATGGCCCAACAGACAGGAGTAGACTGGAGTCCTGCTCTCCAGACCCAGGGGGTTTTTCTCACCTGTTGATGGATGAGACGCTGGGAACCGTGTCATTGTCGCAGATGCCCTCAGCCAGCAGCCGGTCCCGGATCTCCCAGGCGAACATGGTTGGGTTCTGTCGCTTGTATTCAGCGATCTTGTCCACCACTTTGGGCGTTGCCACCTTGGGCTTGGAGCCACCAATCACTCCAGGCTTGATGCTGCCAGTCTCGTAGTACCTGGGCCAGGAAGGCCGTCGGGTCAGCAAGAAGCCAGTGGTGGCAAGGGCATGGGGGCTGCAAGCTCCTGAACTGCTAGCTGCTGTCCCTCCCTAGGCATCGGCGTGGAGGGAGAAAGGCCCTGTGTAGCTGAGCAAAGACTCCAGAAGATGCCTGACTAGGGTGGGCACAGTAGCCGGTTGTGGACAGCGGCAGAGCGGGCACCCCGGGAGGAAGTCTGGCCTTCCACTTGGGAAGGAGAGAAGGAGCCTCGCTGGGACAGCTGACCCCACCCGAAGCACCCACCGAGGTCCTGTGCAGCCTGGGCCGGCCTTTAGCCTTCCTCATGCTGCCTCCCTCATCCTGGGATTCCCTTTCCTCCAGCCCCAACCACACCGATAATCTGGGGGGAATCCCTCCTTTTCTGAACGCAGCTCTCTTCCCTCAGAGGGCCCCGGAGGTTACACCGCACAGCCTCTACCCCGCCCAGCATCCCTCGAATGTGCTTCTCCAAAGGGGCAGCGAGCCCTTTAGCTCCCCGAGCCCCTTCCTTCCTTTCCTCCCTGACACCTCGACTTTTAACTAAAACCTCAGCGGGGAAGGGAGGCAGCGCGCGGCCCTCACCTGCCCAGGATTTTGCTGACGCAGCCATGGCTGACCCGCAGCTGCCGGGAGATGTCACAGGGCCGCACACCCTGGTGGGCCAGCTCCACGATGCGCTGCCTCACCACGTCGGGCAGGGGCCGGCCGTTCACAAACACCCCCCCGAGCTGGTTCACACCCCCGTGCCCTGCTGGGGAGAGACAAGAAAAAAACACAACGCCCCACACACAGCAGGGACCGGCCATTAGTCAGGGTCCGAGGCCCGCCACGTGCGAAGCGAGCAGGCAAGGCTAAGGGGCTTCTCTCAAGACTCTCAAGGGGAGAAAGGTGGCTGGGTGGGCCCACAGGATAGAGGAGAATTAAGCGTCCCGACCCAACCCCGAACCCCGCTGGCAGAAGGGAAGAGCCCGCCTCTCCCACCAGGGCACCGCAGAGGAGAAGGTGCGGAAAGAGTAGAAGGCAGAGAGAGAGAGAGCAGAGGTGGAAAATGTAGAGGGAACGAGACGACAAAGGAGGAGAAATGTCAGCGAGGATGAACGCAGGGAGGTGGACAGGGAAGGACCCGGCCAGGGACAGCGCTGCTGCGGGCAGGGAACCCGCCTGCGCCGCAGACTTGGCAGGGCTTGGGGTTCACAAGGGCTTAATTTTGGAGGGTCGGGGTCCTCTTGATCCAGCTCAGGGAGTCTTCAGACTAAAGAGGGACCAAGCCGAGCCCCCTTTCACCTCCGCCGCCCGCCTCTCCCCTCCTATCTGTTTTTAATTGTACCGCTGCCTCTCTCCCCGCTTTTCGTTTTGTTTGTGCCGGGATTCCTTCCTTTCCTTTAGGTTCTCTGTCTTCAGGTGTCTTGAGCCATATTTCCCCCCCTGTGCGTCCCTACTGTCTGAGGTGGAAGGACATCCAGGTGAGAGCGGAGCGGCGGGAGAGCTAGCGGTTCCGGAGCCCCGAGAGCAGAGCGAGCGCGAGGCGGCGCGGCGTCTCCTCCCGGCGGCCGCGGGAGAGCGCGGGCTGCTGGGCTTCGCTAGCCTACCCCGCCGCCCCGGCTGGGGCCCCGGCGTCTCCCCGCAAGGTGGCACGGTGGGGACGGCCCCTGCGGGCTTAGGGAGGACTCGGGGGCACCCCGCGATGCCAGTCAAAGCCAGTTCGGGACCTCCCTGACCTCTCACGCCTTGGCAGGTGCCCACGAAGCCCAGCAGTTAGGGCGGAGGCCGCACCCGCCAGGGCAGAGCCCTCGGTCTCCTGTCCAGTCAGGCGAGGGTGCCCAGCCTGGAAGCCAAGAAGGGCACGGGTGCCAGGCTCCAGGCCGCTGCCGGGTGCCCCACTTCCCGCGGCCTAAAGCAGCCGAGAAATCCTGCACCTGCAGCGCTTGCTGCGGCTGCGGCTGCTCTGCAGTCCGACCGCAGAGACTGCCAGCGGCGGAGTCCAGCCAGAGCAGGGGAGCAACCTGCAGCCCCTGCCCCACGGCTCAGGCCACTTTCGGAGAAAGCGGGCAAACCTCGTGCCCCCCTTCTTTCTCGCCACCTCTTTCTGGGGAGACCCAAACAAGCGTGGGAGAAAGCGCTGGCCAGAGGCCTCCAGCGGAGGTTCTGGGAGGCCAGAACCTCCTGTCTTACAACCCCCATCCGCACGGTCTCCGTCCCTGGCCCCTTTTTCTCCCCCTCCCCTCCCTGCAAACCCCGACCATCAATAATTTAGGCCCCGGGAGAACTCGCGTTACCGGTCTGAAAAGGCGGCAGCTGCGGGCAGATTAAAGATGAATAATTCAGCCGCGCCGGGCTCCGGGCCCGGCCCGTTTGCCCCACTCTAAGGGAAGGGGATCGCGACCCGGAGCGGCTGGAGTTCAGGGCCGAGGGCCCGCGGAGGAGCCGCGCGGCATCCAGCCTAGAACGCGCTCCCGCCGCTGGCGCAGACCCGGGCCGAGGCCGCCCGCCGCCCGCGCACCGCCTCTCGCCCTCCTTCCACCACGTTCCGCTGCCTCCGCTCCCCTCTGGGGTTCGAAGCGGTTCCCTGCGACTGGCCCCGACTTGCGGGTCCGGGAAGCAATCCTCAAAAAACCCCAAAACCCTGAGCGAGGCGGCGGAACAGGACCGACACGGAGGCCGGCCGCCTGGGCGAGCCGGCGCGGGGCTCTTTCATTCCCTCCGAAAAGGAGCTGGGCTTCCCGGCCGACCGAGGGACCCGCAGCGGCCGAAGTCCCTCGCTTGGGCTTCCTTTACCTAGAAATTATTTAGGGAACTGTATTTTATTCCAGGAATTGTTTTTTAAAAATGGTCCCTTGAAGCTAAAGATGTGCTAAGGGAACAAACAAAACACAGCTCCGTCCTCTTGGGTCGCGGTTTAACGCGCAGACCAGGCTGGGTCTAAAAGTTACCTCGTGGAAAGTTACAAATTATCCTTAATTATTAATCTATAGATGGGGAGGGGTTTCTACTTAGAATATTATTTATCTTTTTTAAGCAAGGGAAAATGCAGGACAAATAATTTTCTAAGCTAAAGACCTGTTATGAATTAAATTCAAACATCATTAAGATGTTTCCTTGTTTCCTATTTTCTTATTTCTCCCCTCCAACATCTTTGCCGTTTTCTTTCTTTAATTTCCCCCTTTCTTGATTTGATTTCTCTTTCCTCCTCGGCTTTGGCAATTGCCTTTCTTTTGTTCTTTCCCTCGCATTTCCCCCCAGACTCGCTGACCCCCTGGCCAGGGCACTGGCTGGTCCTCAGCAGAGCGGAGACAGGCAAGGCAGCCTCCAGAGCACTCAGGTGCCGGCTGGGAAGGCTCTGCTACTCGCTCTCTCCCTGATTCTGATTTCTTCTTAAAACCCCTCATTGTTTTTAGAACGACCAGCTTCCCTGGGCAAAGTCAAGAAAAGTGACCGCCTTCTCCTGCCAACCTCCTGCTCCTAGCTGAAAGGGGAAGGAGAGAGAAGGAGGAGAGGTGAGGATGGAAGAAAGATGACGGGAATATTTCCAAGCAGCCCCCTGCGGAGCCTTCGCTAGGCTGGGAGGGATGCTGTGAGCGAGGCTAGAGCGCTCACAACCCCGGGTCTTCTGCAGGATTGTCCTGACACCCGGCTGCTCCAGCCAGGAGCCGCCTCCAGACCGGCCACAACTCTTAAGTTTGAGGAAGGTAGAGATGAGGGGAGGAAGGAGAGAGACAGAGAGAGAGAGGGAGAGAGAGGGAGAGAGAGAAGCCTGAAAACTGCTGCCAATTAGTCCTCCAGTCCAGGGCAAAGGCTCACTAAGGGAGTGGGGGGCTGAAACCTTGGGCCCAGGGCTGCGGACCCCGCGAGGTGAGGAGGAGCGGGTGGAAAGGAAGGTGAAGCAACCAGGGGAGGCAGAGAGACACACAGAAGGCTCAGCGTGGAGTGGCAAAAAGCAGGAGAGTGGCCAGAGGCGTGAGAAAGACTGGGCGAGGGGAACAGAACGGAAGGAGGGCCGGGGAGAAGCTAGCGTGGCCTCGGGACGAGACCGGAGCGCGGCGGCCCAGGACGCGCAGCCCGCGGGGTTGGTGGGGAGCAGGAGCCGGGCGCCGGTACTCACGGTGCATCGCGGAGAAGGGATCTGCTTTGCAGTGCATATCCATGGGGAGGCCGAGGAGCGGGAGCAGCGCGGCCGCCGCCGCCGCCGTGTCGCCTCGCAAACTCAACTTCAGGACTTGAGGAGAGAAGGAAGGGACGGTGGGGGAGGAAGGGTGAGCGGGTGCCCGGCTGCCGCGGGGCGCGCGAGGGCGGGGGGCGCCGCGCTGCGCTCCCCCACGGGGCTCCTCAGGGCCAGCCGGGGTCTGCGGCCGCGGCGGCTGCAACTCGCCACCGTGGGGCACGCGGCCGGGCGGTCAGCAGAGCGGTCCGCGGGCGACGGGCTGGGCCGAGGGGCACGGGGGGCGCATGGCTCGCGCGCCGGCCGCGGCCAGGCGGAGGCCGGGCGGGGAGGGCGGCTCCGGCGGCGGCCCCGGAGCCCGGCCGTCCGGGAGGCTCGGAAGCACGAGGGCGCGGGGCGGGGGCGGCCCGGGGGCGCCGAGAGGGGAGCCGGCCCGAGCCAAGCGCCCGCGAGTTGGCGAAGTTGGCAGAGAAGTAGCAGTCCCCGGGACGTCCGGGCGGGCGCCGCGGCAGGGGAGCGCCGAGCCGGCCCCCGCCCCCGGGAAGGGCGCGCGGCGGCCCGGGAGGAGGAGGCGGCCGGGAGCCGAGCGCCGGGCGCGGGGCTGGCCCCAGGTGGCTGGCGGCCGCGGGAAGGCTCGGCCGAGACTGGAGCCCGGGCTCCGGGGGCGAGTCTCTCTAAAAGCTGCAGAGCCCCCTCCAGACCCCCTCCTCCTCCCCGCGCCGGGAGATGGATGACTTGTCAGACAAAGGCAATAGATTCCACCACTCTGTGATTCGCCAGCGCCGGAGCCCCGAGCCTCGGCGAGGAGGGCCCCGCGCCTGTCACTCCGGTGCCGGCGAGGGGAGGGCCGGGGAGGGGGAGACGGGCGGGAGCGGCGGGCGCGGGGAGAGGGAGGGTGGGGAGCGGGCCGGGGGCGGGGGGGGGAGGAGGAAGGGGAGCGGGATTAAAACTACACTGAGAGGCGAAACTCGCCGCGGAGATGAGCGTTAGATAAGGGCGACGAGCGGCGGCCGGGCGGACGCTCAGGCAGCCGCGGGCGCCGCGCTCCCGAGCCGGGCTCCCGCGCCAACTCGCCAGCCGGCCGCGGCCCGCAGGTGCCCGGCGCCCGGGGCCCGCGGCCCGCTCCTCGCTCGGCCAGCCCCGGCGCCGAGTTCCCTTCCGCTCCTCCCGCGGCTTCCGTCCTCCCTTCCTCTCCCCCGCTCCTTCCCCGTCGCCTTTCCCTCCCGTGGTACCTTCCCATCCACGCACGCCTGCTTCTCATTCCGGGGCAAAGTGCCCGGCCGCCCGTCCCCTCCCGTCCCGCACGCGGCGGCGCGCACCCCTCCCCGGAGTCCGGCCGGTCCGGGACGCCTGGTTCGGGAGCGAGCTAGAGGCCTCCGGCGGGGACCCACCTGCCGTGGTGGGACCGGCGGGGGGCGGGCGAGCCGGAGGGGGGGCTTGGCTCCCGGACCCCCGGGCGGCGGCGGAGGCCGCTGGACCGGGAGAGCGTGCGCGGCGGTGGCCCGAGCGGGGACGCCGGAGCCGAGGCGGGACCGAGGCGCGCTCGCCCCGGCTGGGGAGAAGGGGAGGCCGGGAGCGCGGCCGCTAGCTCTGCGGGCCGGACGAGCGCAGCCGGCGCGGCCCGCTCGTCCCCGGCCGCCGGCCCGTACTCGCCCCCTCGCTCGCCGGGCTCCCCTCGCACGCACGAGGCGAGAAGAAGCCCTTTGTCTCCTAACTGGTTAAGTACAGAATATCCGGGAGATCTTTATGAAATATTTTCCCTCGTCTCATAAATCATCTTGGCACTTCAGCTGATGTTTTAACTCTCTCTCCCCCCGTCGCTCCCTCCTCCCAGGCTTCCCTGGGTCTGAGAAAGGGCGGCTCCACGAAGCTCGAGCTGCGAAACGCTGCCCCTCGCCTGGCGGGCCCGAGACTCCTTGGAATGGTCCGCAGAGGAAGGGCAGGGAGTGGTGTCATGCCCCTTTCCCCGCGGCCAAGAAGCCTCGGCAGGAGATGGGATCGGGGCAGACACCCAGACACCCACCAGACTCAGCCCAACTCGGACTGACTCCTACAGGGCATCTCGAACCCGGTTTCCTAGGACGCCCTTATTCTGGGCAAGTTTCAGGCCAGGCTCAGCTGCACCAGGATTCCGAGTTTCCCATTCTTTGGGGACCCGGGTCGGCTGGGATCTGGGCTTTTGCTCTGCCTCCCCGAAATTCCTGATCCCGATCCCATTAACCCAGTTGCAGAGTAACTGCTGGGAAGTGAAAAAAGCCAAGCACCTCTCCATCTGCCCCCCACCCCGTTCTCGTCCCCCACTATTTTGGGCTGAAGACTAGGTTCCTTTGGGCAGGACACTGGCAGGCTAGGGTCAAGCCTGGAAAGCCCGCGCCTTCCTCTCGCGGCCTGCAGATGGCGCTCCCGGGTTTGCTTTGGCCTCACAACTCCAGGAACACGCACTAACTTTGTCTAGGGGAAAGAAAAGGAGAAAACAGAGCTCTGGCCTAAAGGAGTCAGCACCCGGTCCCCCCACCTGCTGGGCAGCCAGGACCTGTCGGGCGGTAGCGACTGGCACAGCCTTAACTTCCTTAACAGCCTTAACAGCCCGGAACTGGAGGTGGGGAGCATCCAAAGGGTCCCTGTGGAGAGAGACCCTTACAAACACTCTTGCCCAGGTCTCCATATGTTGGGTACACGTAAGTCAAGCCTTGCTGAGTCTGTTTTGGAAACAGAAATCAGTGGAATCCCTCGCCCCACGCAGCGGTCCAGACTTCCCTAGAACCCAGTGGATTTTTGTGTTTCACGTGCTGTGAAGTGTGAAGGTAGACAGCAGGGACTTTCCCGTGCGGTGGGGGTGCAAAGAGAACTGACAGTTGAAGCGTGTTTGAAGCCGCCTCACACAAGCACCCTTCACACACACCCTCTCTGGAGCGAGTGCTGGTGGTAGCCCAGTTTTCAGGGAGCTGTGGCACAGGGCCTCCTGTCTCTGGCCTTGCTCCTGGGACAGCCCCCTCCCGGAGCACCCGTATTAGCCTCCCAGCTGGCTTCTGGGTCCAGATAATCAAAAAGGCAATCTACCCCGCTGCTCCAGAGGGCCCGCTCGCCTCTGCACAGCTTTCTCCGGACCTCAGGGCTGGCCCGCAGCTGGCCCTCCCCGCCGGCCTCTCCCTCTGACTCGCCCTTTCCTGTTCTTTTTCTTTTTCTATGGGCCCTAACAGAAGGGGAAAGAGTAGTGAAAGAGCGAGAAGGCAAAAAAGAAAGAAGAGGAAAGGGAGGAAAGAAAAAGAAAGAAAACAACCCAACCCCAAACACAACCAGGGCTCCGACCTGTCAGGGTTCGCTGCCTTTCCCTCGTCTGACTCTAAATGAACCTTTTCTCTCCAGTGTTTTCAAAGCAGCCCTTCCACCACCGCCCCCTCCAACCTAGGGGCATTTACACTTCAAACAAGGCGCCCGCCTCCCTGCGGAAATTTAAAGGCAAATAAACTTTTGGGGAGTTGCTCTGATACCAATCTCGGGATTTGCTTCATTAGCCGCCTCTGTGCATCTGATCTGCCCAATAAATCTTCCCTGTGGATCTCAGCTCCTTCTTCTCGGCTCCCATCTCTGCCCTGCTAACTTGGCGCCTACCGGCCCCTCTCCTGCCTCCCCCCCTTTGGGGCCGGCTAGGGCCAAGCTGGTCCTCGGCTGGGGCGGGCCTGCTCGGCGTGAGCGTTGGGAGTGCGGGAGGCTGCGGGCCTCTCGTACACACTTGTGCAAAGGTGCCCCAAGCCGCGTGTGACTTACACCCCAGCCTTCAGGGTGTCTGGGGCAGATTCTGTGCAGTGCGAGTGCGGACTCTGTCTGCTCTCCCCGTGCCCCGGCTCCTTTTTCGGGTTCTTTGGCTGGGGTGTGACTCGGCTGCCTCCCTCCCGCCCTCGAGGCGCTGACCCTGGGACTAGGCACCGGGTCCCGAGCGCTCTTGGAGGTGGGCGCGCCGCGGAGGACCTGGCGAGGGCTCCCGGCTGCCGCGGGGCATCCTGCTGTGCCCCTCCCCCGCGGCCTGGGCTCGGCTCCCCCCCCCCCCCCCACCTCCCGGGGAGCAGCGAGGAGAGCCGGGCCCGAGCTCCGAGGGAGGGGATTAGAAATTCCGAAATTAAGCGTCTCTCCCCAGGAAATGCTCCCCACAGCGCCGACCAAATTAAATGCATTAAAGTTGGGGAGGGGGGTGCTGTGTAGAACCGAGGGACAAAAAAAAAAAAAAAAAAAAAACTAGTCCGAAGGAGAGGAGAGCGGGTGGAAAGGCCGAGGAGGCGGAGGTTGAGTAGCTACTAGCGTCTTTTCTGGATTATTCCGTTTGGAACGCACCATCTCCACCAACAAAAAGAAAGGGGAAAAGTTCTTAACAGTCAAACTCTGGGTTCTCCCCCGCGGCCCACTTCCCTTCCCGTGGGCTCTTGGAGGGTGTACCCTAGGCGTCCAGGTCCCTGGCAACGGGTGACCGCTCGGGGGCCCTCTCCGGCCCCGCCTGACCGGCCCCCGCCCCCCTCTCCTCCCCCCGCCTAGCCGGCTTTCTGGTCACATTGGAGGATTTTTTTTTTTTTTTGGAAGAGCTTCTGGTACAATATGGAGCACCGTGGGCTGCAATTTCACAGTCCACAGCACATTCTCCCTAAAGCTACTTTTTTTTTTCATCTAAGACCCCCTAATTTCTGCTTCCTCGCTCTCTCCTGCTCCCTCCCTCCCTCCTGCTCTCACTCTTTTCCCGCCTTTGTTCCCAATATTTGGACACCCCGCAAGAATCCCGGGGGTCCTGCCTGCCAGCTGGCCCCGCCTGCCTGGTCTGCTGGTCCTGTAGAGGCCTCGCGCACGTGCTGAGCCTTTCTCCTCCGTGGCCCCTCCTCCCCCAACCCTGCTTCCCTTCAGAAGAGGACCTAGCAAGCTCTCCGGCCCTTCACAGCCCCTTTGAGGAGCAAGGACAATACAAACCACTTGGCCACCAAAGAGGCCTCATACTGGCACGGGTCAGCCAGGTGGCTGCCTGTGGACCACTGAACTGGTGGGGGGGGGCCGGTGTGAAAAAAAAAAAACAGTCAAAATACGGCCAGCCGACCCGCAGGGTAGGTGTAGAGGAAAAGCTGGGTGGGAAAGAAGCAAGGGGATCCCCATAATCAGACCCCACCACCTGACCCTCGGTTCAGACCCGAATAACCCGGGCACTCGTCGAGAGCTGCTCAAAGCGACCCTTCACCCCACAGCCTACAGGCCGGAGACGCAGCCTCTGCCAGCACAGCCCCTTTGCCTCTTTCGACTGCAGTGTTCTCACCTGTAAAATGGGGACACTTACGCGTGTCCACTGTGGAGCCCACCAATGGACACTGAAAAACAAACACTTGTACAGCAGACGAAGGAGTAAGTGCCCAGCTTTCTGAACACCTGACGCAAACAGGGAAGGAAGGCGTCTGATCTCCTAGGCTGGCAGAACGGGGAGGGGGGTGCTTTCTATTCTGCTCCTACCCCACACGCTGGGATTCCTCACCGGAGCTCCCTCCTGGGTCCCTCCTTTTCAGACCCCACCCCCACCCTAGCCCTTTCCTCTGGGCTACACCACACCCATCCTCAGCTCTGTTGCCACTCCTTCCTCCACTCCCCCCTGGTCTACCGTAACCGCTAGAACCGTTGATTTTCTCACCCACAACCCCAACAATCGGGTTAATTGTGACCCGAGGCGCGGTCCCCTCTGGGCCTCTCTACCAAAAATCTTTGGCAGAGACTGGGGAAGGAAATCCCATTCTGTCCGGTTCCAAACAAACAGAGCCGGTCCTCCCAGAACCTGCAGTCAACTTGCCAAAGACCGAGTAGAGCCGAGACGGTGGGCAGAGCCTGAGAAGAGGCAGAGGGAGGGAGAAGAGATGGGGGGGGGGACTCAAAGCGGGTGCGGAGACCTGCCCCTTGAAGGCCTGCTGAAGCTAGCAGGGCAAAGCCGGTCTCCACCGGGCCAGCCGCCCCTCCTCCTCGGAGCCTGGGTGAGAGAGTCCAAGGGTGGCTGAGTGTTGATGGGGCTCTAATGATTAACCCTCCTCTTCGCCTGCCGGAGCCCGTGGCTCGCCCGGCTGTGGTGGAGGGAGTCTGTGCTGGGCTCCGGGACGTCCCCGGCACCACCCGCCACTGCCACAGCTACTGCGGGGGACAGCTGAGGGCGGGAACAGGAGGCAGCAAGGGCTAGTGGAAAGGCAGCTGGGTGCCGGGCGACTCCCTGCTGGAAGCCAGGGGTAGCTAAATAGCCAGGGTCAGGCAGGAAAGTGGTCTTGTGCGAAAGAGGGCCCCCTGGCCCTTTGGTGCTGAGGAATACTTGGAGAGGGCGGGAGCACCAGGGCAGGGTTGCCCGGGAGTTGCCAGCAGACACCAAATCTGCTGTCTGGGATCCGTCCGCGCGCCGCCTCCCTGCTTCCTCCTGCAGCAGCTGTGCGGATGTGAGGAGCAGGCGGAGCGCGCCGGGGCCGGGCCGGGCCGGGAGCCGGTAAGGCAGAGCGAACCCCGTCAGCGAGGCGAGCGAGGCCTCGGGGGCACGGCCGCCGCGGCGGGGGAAGGGCTCCGAGGTGGCTGGAACAAAGGACCGGAGAGGAGGGGAGAGAGGACACAGGGGCAAGAAGGGCAGGCCGAGCTGGGGGAGAGGCCCAAGGAGAGGGGTCTCCCGGGACAGAGCAAGGTCTGTCCACGCTCGCCTCCTCCATCAAGCCTAGCTTTGAGCCAGGTGTCCCCCGAGGATCCAGTGGCCTGGGGTAGGGACAGGGCTCTAGCCCCGAGTAGCGGCGGCAGCCAGGGGGGCCTGGTGAGTGTGCTAGCTTGCTGGTGACCGACGGGGCTGGGAAAAGATAGGGAGGGGAGGTCCCTGGCAGGGGTTAGAGCTCTGGTTTTGGTGCTGCAAGCCTCCCCCCCTCTGTTTTCTGCAAAGGAGAGAGCACCATCCCCTCCAACTTCGCTGAAGCAGAAGGCCTGAAGGAGCCAAAACAAATTTCCCTTCTTTGGCCTGGAAGGGGAGGCTTTAAGGGTCATCTGTATCCGAGATTATCTCTTTAATTTCTGTCACTGTCCCTAGAAAGAAAAAGCAGCGCAAAGTGACTCTCAGAAGAGAGCTCAGACTCGGGGCCTCTCCCACCACGTCCAGACCCGCAATGAGCTCTAGACCCGCGGCTAACGAACGCATCGCTCAAACTGGCTCATGAAGGAGAAAAATCTTAAGTGTCTCAATCAGTTGGGGGAATTTCTAGTGTGTCTCCGCAGAGGCAGAGCGTTTCTTGGTGAGGTGTTTGGGTGAATGTGTTTGAGTGCTGTAAGAATTTCTGAGCGGTGGCGAGGGCTATGTGTTCCCTGGCTGGCCGGGCTGAGGTAGAAGCCCAGGACCCATTTCCAGCGCCTCCCCCTCCTCACTCAGGCCGCAGCCCAGGCTGCTCGGAGGCCAAGGCCTCCCAGCCTCGTCCAGCAGGGCTGCCAATCAATCTTGCAGGTCAACACAGCAATTAATAACGAGGTGAGGAGGCCCGGCAAAGAGGGAGGGAGATGTCAGGCTGCGTCTTCCCCCGGGCTCTGAAGACCCGGCGAATGGAGGGGGGGCGTCTCTGTGCGGGACAACAACAAAACCCCAGGAACTCAGCGGGGAATCGGGGAGTCCACTCTGGGTCGCGCCAGGAAGAGTCAGGGATCACCTACAGGGAGCCAGAAAGCTGACCAGGGACTGGAACGGGGCAGAGGAAGAGGGGGGACCCACACCTCTTATTTTTATACTCTGGGTATTGAGGATCACGTTGACCTAGTTGCCGATTCTCTCTCCTTCCTCCTTTCTTCACCCTTTCTGCGCTTGTGGTTGCTGCTGCTCACAATCAGGCCAGGGAAACGAAATAAAACCCGCATCTCGCGGAACCCGCCTGCAGCGCTGCCATTGCTGCTGCCAGCGGGCCTGCTTGCTTGCTGGCGCCCTTGTTCTTCTCTATGTCATGGTCATTTTGAATGGTCACAGGGGGACCAAAAGGTCCATAGGGGGGGCACAGGGGGACACAAGGGGACACAGGGGATACAGGGCACTGAGGGGACTGTGCAGCGATGGGGCAAGCCTTTGGTGGAGATCCAGAAGAGTGGAAGAGAGAAAAAGGGGGAGTAATGCAGCCGAGAGGGGGAGGGCTTAGGCTTGGCTTTGTGGTGGGGTATCTTGAAAGAAATAGCCATTTTTCCTCTTCAACACTCCCTGCCTCCTGCCTAGCTTGGCAGCTTCTTCCCACCCTGTACAAACCGTGCCTGTCTGGAGTGCCAGCCTGGCTCCGGAAAGGAAGGCATGACAGCGAGCCTGGGCTGTAGCCACCTGCCGACCCCGCCAGGTGCTCCTGGGTAAGTGTGAAGCGCCTGGTTTCTTCTGAGGGTCCCGTGTAACTTGGAACCCCACCAGGACCCCAGAGGCGCCTCTGTGCTCTGCCTATTTCTTCCTGGGGTGCTGAGCAGGAAGTTTGCGATTGGCTGCTTGTTAGGACTGGGAACCCAGTCTGGGCACCTTAGGTCTACAAGGAGGCAGGGAGGGGTGCCTGCTAAGAGAAAGAATGGAAGTGTTCCAACTGAGCAAGGGAGGCCTGGGAGGGAGGGCAGGGGCAAGAGCAAAATGGATTCAGAGAGAGTGAGGTGAAGAAACCCTGTGTTGGTTGGGAAGGGAAGAAGAGGGAGAGAGGTTCTGGGGAAGGCTCAGCCATTAGGTCTGTCCTTGGGCTGCATATTTATACGGTCGAGGGGGTGCACAGATGGGCTCTCAATTGAATTCCATCTTCAACACCATCAGAGATTGATTTTATACTCGCTTTTAATTTTGCCATAATTAATTAGATCATTACAACTGTTTGCTATTGATCTCTCTACTTAAACCTCGAGAGTGGAGGGCCTGCCCAGAGCCCTAAAAACCCAGGAGGCCACAGCTGACGCTCACGGGGCTCAAGTTCTTCCGCGGGGACCAGGCCCCAGAGAAGAGTAGGGACAGTGCAAGGATTAAGCCAAAAAGCTAGAGAACGAGCTGTGTTGGGGACAGGAGAGCGATCAGTTGAAAGAACTGAACTTGAACTGGGGTCACGGAGTGGGTAGAAACGAGGAGTGAAGAAAAAAGGCCCCGAGTTAGGCCTTGACCTCTACAGAATTATTTGGAAAACTCTGGAAACTTGATCCTGTCCTCTCACTCACTACCAGTCTCAGCTTGGTGCTCGGCTTCCCCTCTCGCAGTGCCGGGACACCTGACGGGCAGTCACAGCTGAGTTGGCAGGAGAAGAGGGGGAGCAAGGGCAGCGCCCTAACAGCTCTCGGGAGTCGGTTTGAGAGTCTCCTCCCCCCCCCCCCCGGGCCCCCTGGTGCCGTCCTTCCCCTAGGCCTCCCCTGAACCCCTCCATTCTGTTTTTGAAGTGGAAAAGTGTGTGTATGGCTGACCCTCGACCCTACCGCCCAAACCCAAATACCCAACACCCACGCACATGTGCCCACAATATATGCTTCTTTAACCCACCCCCGGAAACTGAAGGTCGCCCAACGTTTCCAGTTTGAGGAAAGTTGTGTGAAATATTTATGCCCAGAGAGAAATCAGAACCATCAAGTCCTAAGCACTCAGTAGAAAGGAAGAGCCAAGTTCTGCGAAGAGAAGTTGTGAAACTCGCGTTTCCTCGGTGGAAAGTTTTCGGTTGGAGGTTTAGAGGTCACAGGGAGGGAAGGCTGCAGAGGCCCCAGAGAGGAGCGTCCACAGCACCTCTTCCCAGTCCTCGCAGTGGCGGCTGGGGACCGCAGGGAAAGGGAAGAGCAGTGAAACCCGCCCTCGGCGACACAGCCCTCACCCTTCTCCCCCGACGCAGAGCCTCCGCCCAAACCCCCGGCCCTCTCCCCCACCCTGGCTGCGACGCCGCCGGGTCCCAGGCCGTACCTGCTCCTCCTGCACACTGCTCCATGCTCTGCTCGCTCCTGCCCTGGCCTGGGGCTTGGCTTCCCGGCTCCTCCGCCGCCCCACGGCCCGTCTCGCCTTGGCTGCCGCGGCCGGCAGAGAGAGCCGGGAGCAGCCACCCGCGACGGAGCGGCTCAGATAACGGCGGCTGCCGGCCGCCTGGGCGGGCTGTGCGCCCGGACCGCGCCGGCGCTCACACGCCCGGCCGCGCCGAGCACAGCCGCCGCCGAGGAGCCGCGGGCTCTCCGGGCCGCGCGCGGGCGCGCACCCGCCCCGAGGCCCCCGGCCCCGCGGGCAAGCTGATCCCCACACTCTGCTTGCCCAGAGGGACCCGGAGACCGGACCCGGGTGTTCACGCCGGGACACCCTCCTACCCACCCTCTCACCACGGTCACACGCCCCCCTTCAGATCCCAGCCTGCCCTCTGGCCCTTGCCTTCTCCCCAACTTTGTGTGGCAACCCTTCCCCAAGACTCCAGGCTCCTGCGCCTGCCAGAGGCTTTTCTGCTCTCAGCTTGGCTTCTGAAGTCTCCGCAAATGCACCCCAACTTCTGCAGGCCACACAGTCGTTCCCATCCCTAACACGTTCATCCTGGCGCTGCTCTCTGCTCTCTGTTTCTTTTTGCTTTTCAACAAACAGAAACTTAGGATACGAGGAAAAAGCCCTGATTGATGTCCTTGAAGAGATAGTGGGAACCAAGGGGAAGAGGGAAGGGCCCACCCCTTCCTTACTTATTCTGTACCTATTTGAACACAGCTCCTGGTCAGTGTTCCGATCCCCTCCCCTCTGCACCAGCTTTCTTGGGCCTTCAGACTCACACCCTCAGTAACCACACGGAGCTTTCATCCGAGATCAGGGGCCCACTTGCCCTTCTTCTACATCACACCTTCTCAATCTGGAATTTCCATTTCTCCAGCTTTGGCCATAAACTCTGTAAATCTCTCAGATCCCGTTTTTCTTAGGTGAACCTGCTTGTACTCCCACTCTCTTCAGAGGCACCCACGTTCGCTCCCTGCGGTCTCTCTCCTCGTTTGTTTAGTCTTATCTTGCCCCGGGACTCCCTCCTTTTTGTTGTTGCTGCTTTTGAGACACGGTTTTCTCTGTAGCCCTGGCTGTCCGGGACTCACTTTGTGGACCAGGCTGGCCCGGAACTCACAGAGCTCCGCCTGCCTCTGACTCCCTGAGTGCTGGGATTACAGGCTAGCTGGCACCACTACGCCCCCACCCCCACTCAGGCTGGGACTTCCTCTCTTACAGCCTTGTTCTTATAACTAACCCTGAGCATCTGTCCAAGCCAGCACTGGGTAAACCCTGTGTGCCAGTAGAGGTTTGTGGTGTTTTCACCCCACTTCTCTCTGTTCTCTCTCTGTCTCTGTCTCTGTCTCTGTCTCTCTCTCTCTCTCTCACACACACACACAGAGAGAGAGAGAGACAGAGAGATAAAGAGACAGAGAGATAGAAAGACAGAGAGATAGAGAGATAGAGAGACAGAGAGGAGAACCTGGCAGGAAAGGATCAGGCAGGAGTTGGGGCTCCTGGAACCCCATCCTCCCACCCCCCACTGAGCTCACCCTAGAGAGATTGTGCAGCTAGAAACAGGAAGCTGGAGAGGCACAGGAGCCACAGCAACCCTGCTATCTTCCTACAGGAATGGCTTTCTGGACAAATCATCAGCTAATTGAACTTTTCTTTTCCAGCAGTACTGACTATGGAATTCAGGAGTCGCTCACTGAGGTACTCCACGACTGGGTTAGACGTGCAGGGGGTGGGGGGGAGGGGCCAGGCCTGGTAGATCAACATGTTCTGCTTCAGACCTTAGACTTCACTGGTCCTCCTCCTCCTCCTCCTCCTCCTCCTCCCCCTTCTCCTCCTCCCCCAACAGTGATTTTCCGACCCAAATGCATAAATACTTAAGGGTTAAAAAAAAAAAAAAAAAGACTTCCCTGGCCATGGTGACTGCACATCTTTAATCCTGACGCTCAGGTGGCAGAGGAAGGCAGATCTCTGGAGAGCAAGTCTCAGGCTAGCCAGGGATACATCCTGAGACCTTCTCCAAAGATATTCTTTCCTGTTGTTGTAGACAGAGAAATATTTCTATGGGCTTGGAGAGGAGAGGGGTATGCACAATGAAACTGTAGTCTCTCTCTCTCTCTCTCTCTCACACACACACACAACTATCCTGTGTTTATTCTGTTGATGTACATAGGATGCTTTGTAATTAGCTTCTCGCTGTCACCTAGGACTGCACCTGGACACCTTTTAAACACGTGTTTGCACTGTGTGTGTGTGTGTGTGTGTGTGTGTGTGAACATGGTGTGCACGTTCACAAAAGAAGATCATGGGGAGGTCAGAGGGTTCATTCACCTTCCTTGGCGGTGTCTCTCAGGATCAAACTCAAGTGATGAGGGAGAGTGCCAAGTGCCTCTACCCACTGAGCCACTCTAGACACACATAGTCAGCGATGGTGTGTTTGCATCTCTTGATTGCAGCTGATCTCACTATCCAGCTCTGGTTGGCCTAAAACTCATTTTGTAGACTAGGGTAGTCCTGACCTTAAACTCATGGAGATCTGCCTGCTTCTGCCTCCCGAGTGCTTGAACTACAAGTGTCTACTGGAATACATGGGTTTTGTCCTGTGGAATCACACCTCCACTGGCCAGCTCTTGGTGCCCTTGTTTCCTAGTGTCTGAAATGGCAATTAAAAGGCCCTGCCCTTTGACAGGTTTCTTAGGAGACAGAATGTGCTCACATGATTACGAAGGCCAACCACCCTCACACCAAATATTCTTGTTCTTATTCTAGAACCAACAGTTGAGACCCAGTCTCTGAGACACGCAGTCAGGGAAGCACTCACTGAGGAATGGGAGCTTTTGAACTGAAACCACACATAAAGCTTTCTTGTTCCTGAGCCAGCTAGGCACCAGTGCCAGGATCCAGTGCCTAGAGGCAGGATCCAGGGCTTGGGCAGGGCCAGGATCAGACCGGGGTCCTAGAGAAGGCAGCTTGAGGCCACTTTGCTAAGTAGCTTGTTGACATAACTAAAGAGGCTTGAGAAGGATGAAGGCTTCTTAGCTGTAGCATCTGCTACTCTTCCTCCAGATACCTACAAAATGATGCCCATCAAAGGTGCCCTGTTCTTCTGCCCCCTCCTCCCTGCGGTTCTGTCTCTCTTTGTCCACCAGCCCTCACTCCAGTGGCACAGTCTCTTGGGCCCTTTTGCTTATTGCTGGCCCCATTGATTGAAAGTCTCTTTCAGGATCTCCAAGGAGTCTCAGGAAAAATGATCCGCCAGCCTATTGATTCTTCATTAGAATTACATTTTCACGTGTGCTAAATTGGTTTTAAAAGCTTCTTCTGTTGTTATTGTCTTGTCAGACCCTGCGGTCCAGGGCAAACCAAGTTTAAATGTTGTGGCTTCTTAGAGAGAAAAAAATCACCAGGGCTGGGTCTGTGATTACCTGCCTTTCTGCCTCACTCTTGTCATGATGACAACTGTGATTGGGCTTGAGCATCTTTAGGAAAAGGGCCTCCTAAAAGGTGGCTGCCCATGTCAGGTTGAAGCCAGCTGGTAAGGGATCTAAAGCCCCAGAGGAAAGATAACAGAACAGTTTTCCCCCATAACATTAAATTTATTAGTAGAACTTGTGATAATTGCTTTAGAGACAGAAGGAACAAATTTTAAGGATTTTTTTTTTGTTGTTGTTGTTATTCTGCTTCCCCTTCAGATGGTAGAGGAAAAATGGAGAAACACTTTTTCTTCACCTTAAATAGGTGTGTGTGTGTGTGTTGGGTGGGCTGTGTCTTGTTTTAATTCAGGACAAAAGCCCAGTTACAAGGAGTTTGGTCATCCTTATACTCTGGGCTGGCCAGGGAGGAAGAAAGAGAAAGGAGAGAGGCTGGTTATGATAGAATAAGGGAGAAAGGAAGCTCAGACTGGAGAGGGACAGAGAGGGGGGCTATCAGACACCAGGGACAGACAAGGAATGAACAGGGACACAGGGATGGACAGGCAGTGGGATGGAAAGAAGGAAGGACAGAAGGAGGGAGGGAGGGGGAGAGAGAAAGCAAGCAAAAGAGATGAAGTAGGAAATGAGGTGGAGTCAGAAAAAGGGAAACACAGAAGAAGGGGAAGGGAAGGAATGAGAGAAAGACCGAGGCAGGCAGAGGAGCCAGCCCCAGGGACTCCCGGGCTAGGCAGCCTGCCCTGCTCCCAGCCACCTCCCTCTTCCTGGCCTAGCAACTGGCAGCATTGTAGTGGGCGCGGGCGTCGACGGAGCTGAGGCAGGAGAGGCAGGCGAATGTCTCCGCGATGTGCTTATCCCCTAATCAGTTCATTAGTTATAAACAACATGACATTAGAAGTTAGGAGGCAGTTGATATTAATTTTTATTTAACTAGTTGATGTTTAATCCGTCACGCCAGGCTGGGTAGCAGCGAGAAAGATCTTCCTGACACAAAACCAGTTAGAACTTCATAAGGCGCAATCAGTGTCCCGCGCCTCGAAACAAACAAGAGAGACAGAGACATACACACATAGAGACAGAGAGACAGGCAACCCAAGAGGCCGAGGGAAGCTGGCAGGCAGGGAAAGACTAAGGCGAGGCCAGGGCGGGGGTGGGGAGGGGGATGAGCTAGGGGACCTCTGTGCAGGGGGCTGGCAAATCCAAGACCAGCACCACCCAAACCCTAGGTGTGGCACGTCCCGAGCGCCGGGGAGAGCCAGACGAGGGCAGCCCTGGGCACCGCGGCAGGGGCCGGGGAAGCCTGGCCGCCTGCAGCCGCCACGCTGAGAGGAGCGCTCCGGTGCCTGGCATCCTGGCGGGAGGCCGGAGGCTAAGGTGCCAGCCGGGGTCCCAACTCCCCGGCTCAGAGGGCGGTCGCCTCCCCTTTCCCTGCTTCAGGAAGAGCGGGCCGGACGGGGAGGGGAAGGGGCGGAGGGCGGCCGGGCGGCCCAGGAGTTCAGCAAAGTTTGCGGCGGCGGCCAGAAGCCCGGACGGGGCGTGCGCT